CACTGAATCTCTGAGCCCCAGGGACCTATTTTTCAAGCTTGAATTGAGTGTATCGATGATAATGGGATGTGTCTGTTTATGTTGTAAAATACTGTAATACTAATTCTCTCTGAATCTGACTTTGGACTTCTTCCACTGTTTTTGTCATTTGCCAAATTACCAGGTGCCGTAAAAGTAAAGAACTGTTATTAATGATAATGATAATGGTGTCATAAGCCGCATGGAAATTTCATCTTCATTCAGACCATCGGAAGGGCCCGATTCTCTGTATGATCGTGTCTTAAAATACTTTGGTTTGCAAAAATGTTGAAGTCACAGAGACAGCCTGGACTGCCCATTCTGGGCAGAACCCAGCTCTCCTGGCATAAGGGCACCCGCACTTAGGTCTAGGCCACCCAGTATGCCTAAGGAAGGAGAGAAACAGAAGTACAGTCCTTGAGAGCATGCACGGAGTGTTGTTAAGGAGAGAGAGGGAGAGGAGACAGGCCCGTACGTTCACACTGCACCTGTTCCACAAAGCGTGGTCCTGCTCAGGTCTGCATCCTGCACATCTTATCTCAGGACAATGGGGTGGCTTTACATGTCATCTACCCAGAACTGTCATTAAAATTTGAGATGATGTGAAAGTCGAGGGTCAATTTCAAAAGCCTGCACAGAGGGGAATTTGAACTTAAATTCTGCTTTTGCAGAGTTCAAATTATATTATGTATTTGTCTCTAATTACCACATCAGAGACACCTTACAATCCTTACTGGAATGAGTAAAATTAGAAGTCACAAATATGCATTTAATGTACAGCATTTGGAGAAAATGTGTTCCACTATCGCAGATTAAAAAAAGAACGTTAAGTACTTAGTAGGTCTCTATATTGAATTTGTCAGGTTGTCTCTGACATGTCAGGACTGTAGGGTCAGCAACAGACACTAAACTTTATCAGAAGTATTTACAGGTTAGCAAATGCAAATAAAATAGAATGCAGTACAATGTAGCTGATAAACATCCTAGCTCTCTACCAGACACTAAAGAATACTGCAAAGCAAAGCTTCCACTTTCTATTGTCTTTGTAGAATTGGTCAAATTAGATAAAGAAACATAAAATGATTTACCTGTTTGTGCTTCTGAATCCATTAAGCAATGCACTGGTGATGGGTGTATATTGATGTTTTCTTGATCATTTCTTGAAAACTAAGAAATAATACATTAAAATATCAAACGGTAAAGGCCTTTCTGGTGGGGTTAAGTCTCAGCACTATCACAGTGTCATTGCTGTGGCACGAGTTCAATGCCCGGCCAGGGAGGTGACCCTCATGACGCAGCAGACCTCTCCTGTCACCTGCTGCTCCCCTCAGTGTGTTTCAATAGATCTGCTTGTTCTGCTCCCCACTCTGTCTCTAGTGAATCCTCTCACCCACCTCTGGCCTACACCCCTGTTCTTGTATACAAAAATAAATTTAAAATTTTTTAAATATACAGCAAATGGTAATAATTCAAAATGTGTGCCTAGTGCTCTTGCATTTACCTATCATGTATAATTTCAAACCCAGCAGAGAAAATTATCTTCTAATACCATTTATTAGTAAATCATGATTTAAGAAAGATCATGGAAATACAATCTACCTGGTGGAATCAACATTCAAAGACTTCCGCTCAGAAATTTTAGAATCTATCAGAGGAAGAAAATGCATTTTTCAGCAGACCACAGCTATGCCATCACAATGTGAGCCTTCGTCTTGATACCAGCGTGAAGGCAATGTTAAACTTCAAGAGGTAAGTCAAACGTTGGAAGAAAACCACAGCATTCAGCTATTAAAATAAAGCTTCCCCAGAACCATGGACGCAAAACTCACCAGCCTGAGTCAACGAAGCTCTCCCAATCTCCTACCCAGTTTCTCTAAAAGTGCCCAAACCATCCCAGCTGACACGGAAAACAGAAAACTCCAACGAGTGAAGAAATCCCAAGCATGCAATGTGCATAAGCAAAGTAGCTGTTTGGTTCAAAAGCCAAAGAGTCGGTGTCTTACTCTGTGTTGGGTCGTGCAAGAACCTCTCTGTGCCCACGGACTCACAGACTGCTGGCCTCCTCCAAGCCAGGGTCCCCAACACAGCCACGGCTCTTCTCTCTCAGCCTCTGGCTTCGGAAGACAGACTGGCTCCGAGATTGAGAGGAGGTACCTGACAGCCTTTTGGGGTGTGGCTCCCAGCCCCCGCAGCCCAGCCCCCACCCCCCAGCGCCCCTCCATTCAAGAAACTGGCTGCCTGCGGGCAGCATGTATGAACCGGGAAGTCAGGACATACCTAGGGCGTTTCTAGAAGGGGGAAGGCATCCGGCTCCCCCTGCTGCGCTGCGCGCCTGGACGGCCAGCACCAGCGCCTGCAGTCAGCTACTGTACATGCTGGCAGCGGCGCCCGCGCGGGGATTAGAGGCCGACAGCTGCGGCTGCGGGCCCGGGGAGCCAGCCGGAGGCCGCGCGTGAACCAGGCCGGGAACGCCGGGCGCGCAGAGACACCCACCGCGGGCCGGGAACAGACTGGTGGGCGCCGCGGAGACACCCACCGCGGGCGAAGGCAGCGGCCCCGCGAGCCCTCTCCACGCCGCCACGCGGGCGGTTATTTAAGGCTGGGGCATGACCCCTGCCAGGGCAGGCCACCTCCGCCTCATGTCACCTGCCTGGGTGCGAACGGGGCTTGTAGAGGCGACAGGCGCAGCAGAGCAACCGTGAGCTGCAGTGCTCGGGGACAGGAACCGCTCCAGCCGGTGGGGCCGCGGCTCCCGCTCGCTGCCCGTCGCTGAAACAGCCTCAGTAAACTATTCTGCTAGTGAAGTCGAGCAACTCTGTAAAGGTAAGTGGGCAGAGCAGTGAGGGTACCGCTCCTGGAAACCTCCCATGGGCTGCAGGGTCAGGTTAGACAACCGCCTTGGCCTTCATTTCTGTCAGTCACTACCCCCCGGTTTTAGGCATCACTTTAGGGTGCTTCTTGGCTTCTTCATGAGTAAAACAGAAATAGAAAAGCCTCACGATCAGTATTTGTGAGATGAGTATGGTACATGAGAATATTCTGGAAACTGCACAGTCCTAAACAATGCAAACTATGGCCAGAGGGAGTTAATTCTGAGCAGAGGGCAACTCTCCTTTCTGCCTCTCTTTCATTCAATGAATGAAAATTGCCTGTCTTTTGTGAAGGCATTATTTAAAAGATCACGAAATTATCACCACTGGATGTATGAAGAGGCAGATTCCCTAGAACAGTCCTCTAAGCAAAAAGGGTGACGTGGTTAGCTCGGTTATACTGAATTGTTTAACAAGTAGATGTCAGCTAGAAGTAGTTTAGAGCAGATCTCTGCTTCCACTGAGAACTAAAAAGGCAGTTTCAACACACGCACGCGCACACACACACACACACAGAGAAGGCAGCAGAGAGCTACCCAGGCAGCCGAGAGTTCCATGTTTGTGCTGATTACTGGTAGAAAGAGCTGAGTAGCCAGAGAAGACAACCTGGGAGAAGGCCAGCAGAGCGTTCAATAATCTCTGAAAGGGAGAGAAGATAATAGTGTTGGCGCTTCCAGGCAGCCAGAACTGGGGCTGCAGAGCCCAGAAAGAAGAAAAATGAGGCTGACACTCAGCACCCATTTTTCACTCAAGGTATTTACTTGGTGAGATGTTTAGGGCAAGCAGTTAATTTCCTAAGCATAGGGTGGCTAAAAGCAGAGCAAAGCTCTAAAGGCAGAAGCACTGAGCGGGAGCAGGCACCCCTAGAAAGCTGCAGCCTGGGGGTGGCAGGAGCTAAGAGTGTTGCAGAGATTTGCAGCCTGGAGCCCAGGCGCTGGTGGCCGGTCGCCCTCTGCCCTCCGCCACTGCCACGGCGCCTTTGGGGCCCTTTCTCAAGGAAGAGCTACAACATCCACGGTATTATTTTAATCACAATGTCCAGCAGTTGGTCAAATTTGCTAATCCAGTCAAGAAGCAGATTACAGAAGCAAGCCCACAGGTAACTGAGATGGGGTTGGGTGCTTGCCGCAGGCTTCGAAATTACTTAAGAGGGTCAAAAACAATGACAAGACTTACAGCCGAGAAAGGGGATCTATAAAAATAGTCAGGTAGGCCCTCCCTGGTGGCGCAGTGGGTTAAAGCACAGCACTGAGAAACCAAAACCACTTCTGCATGAGTTCGATTCCCGCCTGCCCCGGAGGTGACCACATGGTGTGGCAGACCTCTCCTGACCCGCCCGCTGCTCCCCTCAGCAGTGTACTTCATTGATCTGCCTGTTCTGTTCCCCACTCTGTCTCTGGTGAAGCCTCTCGCCGCCCCTGAGCCTCTGGCCTGTACCCCAGTTCTGTATGCACAAATAAATATATCTTTAAAAAAAAAAATAGTCAGGTAGACAGACGAGAGCGCAAAATATAATCAGTGACATGAAGAGAGCTAGATCAAGGCAGCAGTGACTTAAACGATTTCATAGGAAACGTACATGATGCCTGGAACCCGCCAGGCAAACCACCTTGCTTGAAATAAAGGTAAATGTGCTGGTTTGCGTGAAACAGGCAACCTATTATATAAGTCAAAAGCACCCTGGACTCTGAGTTGGAGATTTGGATTCTGGTCACGTTTCCCAACCAGAAGAGTGAACGTCTCTACCATGTGTTTCTTCCCTGGTATAAATTAGTAAATAAATAAAGGGTGGGGGCAGGTGCCCTGTACCATCAGCCAGCTCTGTAAATACTGTTGGGATGGGATAAGCTGTGGAAGGTCCTGGATACTCCAGTCCCCTCCCCCAGGGGGCGCTCAGAGCAGAGAGCATTTCTGCAGATTGCGCTATACTAGGAGGCCTGTTCAGGCCTCCGGCTGGAAGCAGAGCGATTTCTCTTGTCACCTTTCATGCGAGACATTCAACTTGTTGTGGACTTCGGTGCTTTGCCCCTCCGGCAGCTGGAATGCGGTGCAGTGGTGAGCAGCTAGAGCAGCCGTGGGCACCATCACCGCCCGCGCCAGGTGCCTTCCTACCTGCAGCGGCCGTCAGGAATGCCTGTGGCAGCAGCTGCGCCATCCGCCTGCTATGAGGCTGGGAGACAAGTGTCAACTATTAAAGGCAACAGCAGTAAATGCTCAAGCCAAACTGTTATCCTAACTATAAACACGTACACCGGAAAACCCCCAATTACAAGTCGCTCTCAGGAGTGAGAATGCCATGGAAAAGTCAACCTCCCCCAGCGGCCCCTGGAAATGGATTCCGTTTCGGGTTTGTCCAGAGAAAAGCGGCGTGAAGGGAAGACTTGACTTTAGGTCAAAGTCGCTGTGGACTTTAAGAGAAAGCTGCTCGAGAAGAGGGATACAAACAAGCCAGATTCCAAGTCAGGAGCCACGGAGAGCGGCAAGTGCTAAGAAGAAGCGGGGCTGAGAAAGGAGTGGGGTGAGCCCCAAGACCCCCGGTTTCGTTTACTGTGGCAAAGATGGCCAGCCACTGGCCAGCAGGGAAGGAACGAGCAAGGTGGAAAGACCCAAGGAACCAGAGAAGACGGGCACAGGCGGAGGGGCCTGGGGGGAGGCGGACCCAGGCTCTAAGAAATTGGTGATGTGGCCCCAGGACGCTGTCGGGGCTCAGCCGCAACACCGGGGTGGTTGTTTTGAGTCATCGCGAGGCAAAGCTGGTCCTCTTTGCAGGTGGATGTCAACAGCAATTTCAGACCACCCAAGGGTGACCACCAGCACAGGTGGACGCCAGCCCCGGGCGCCCACACAGGGAGCAGCGGGTGACTGTCAAATGTGGAGACACAGGGGTTCCCATGGCTCCAAAGGGGAGCCATGCCCCATTTATGTTGCCTGACAATCCTGCTATACCACAGCAAACACACTCTTCAAGCATATGGCTGCAGCGGGGAGGGGTGCTGCCGCACCACTAGGGGGTTCTGGGGACAATGGGGAGAAGCTGGGGCAGGACTTCTGGTTGGCGGGAAGAACTGTTCCACTGGGGGTGGAAAACAAGGCCCTTTGCTCTCCTGGGGGGCGTGCAGAGGGGGTGTTCAGTGAGGGAGGACAGGTCTGCCACTTGCTCTAATGAGGCCAGAAAGGCTCCGCACAGCCAAACACCAGTAGCCAACGCCTATGAATGCCACAAGTAACCAGTGAGGCGGAAAACACTAGAAAGGGTGACATGGAGAAGCGAGCATGTGTCCTTCGTCGCCTCTGTGCTTTACAAACCACACGGGAGACACAAAGGCGGGCCCCGCGTTTATTATTTCCCGCCACAAATTCATGCTGAAACGCTGCCAGGTCAGTGCAGAGGCTGCGCGCTTATGTCAGGTTTTTCTCTTTCTTGCCCGAGCTCGCCTCAGTCTCCCTTTCCGCTTCCCAAACACGGGCCTGGCCGTCACCAGCACCGGCCTGCCCTGCTCTCCGTCGCTGTCGCTGGAGCTGCTGGAGGTGGGGTCCCCGTCCCCAGCTCTGGCCGGAGCCCTGGCCGCGCCCCTGGGTGCAGCAGGGCGGCCCGGCGTCCCCACCGCCGCTGCGCCCCTCGGCCTGGCCAGCGCGTGGCAGCACTGGGCGTCCTCGCCCCCAGAGCTGTCTGACTGGGACAGGTATGCGGCCCCCAGGAAGCCCCCGCCTGGCCCCTGGCCCATAGGACCCGAAGGCCTCTTCTTCTTCGGGACCGGGGGCTCCTGGCCTGGGCTGGCGGCGCACCCCGGCCCGGCCCGCTCCAGGGCCTCGCAGTCGCTCTCGGGGGCGCCTGGCGCGGCCTCCCGCTCCCGGGCCTCTCGCTCTTTCCGGAGCATGCACGTCACGGCTCTGTTCAGTCGCTGGCTCTTCATGCCCTTACCGTCTTGTTTCTCCTGCTGTGCTAATCTGAAGAAAGAATCAATTCGGAGCTGTGTCTAAACAGGAAAATAAAAGATGCATCAGACAGGTAAGCAGACTTGCTAAGGCCGGCAGAGGGCACCCTGGTCACCGCAGGGGGCGTAGGGAGCGGCTATGTTCTCCTCCAAGCCAGCTCCCCCACTCGAAGGCCTGGTGGTGAATTTGACCTGCTCCTTCACCCAGCAGTGACTGTGACCCCCAACCCCACCCCATAGGAAATCCCCTCCCGGCACTCCCTGGGTATTTCCCCCTCTCCGTGGTCAAATACACTTTGGAGCAACCCAATGTCTTAGGGTCTGTTTCAAATCCCAATAATTCCCTCTTTTGAAAACATCACCACAGAGCGCCTTCAGGAGGCTGCTGAGGAGCTATGTAGGAGTCAGGTGAGACGGGAGAGACAGAAGATGTATGAACACGTGTGAGAGTCACAAGAAACAGGCATGTCTTCTGTTCAGCAAATCTACTTTTTCTTTTTCACTCAAGTTTTTCTTCTTATTTGCCAGCTGAGGTAGCGCTGCGGACTGCACTGTGCATGTGCAGGGGGCCAGCCTCACACTCTGCAGGGCCTGTCACCACCCCACCCCACGGCCCCACTTCCACCCCCTCCCCCCTGGGCGCTCCCCTCCCCCTCCCCCTCCAATAGCCTCAATTCCAGTCAAACTTTAGGGTTTGCTACTGCGATCCAGTCTCTGTTCCACGAGCAACACCCGCCGCCATCGTCTTTCTCCTGAGTTATTTCACTCAGCCTCATCCCCTCCAGTCCCATCCCCACTGAGCAAATCCACTTTTTAAAAGACATTCTTTAAAAAGTTTCATCTGGAAAAGGGGACAGGCTTAATGCTCGTCACAGCATCATTTATGAAAACCCCTAAAGCAAACGAAAGCTAACGCCCTTTGCGGAAGTGTAACCTGGTCACGTGGAACTGCAACTTGGCACAGAAGAGCCTTGCTGTGGAGCCGGGGAGGGGAGAGGCTGCCTACCAAGCGGGTGGCAACTAGCGTGGGAAGGAGGGGAACAGCTGGTAACATGTGAGAAATAACAGATGAGGATGACTCGAACTCATTTTCACTGTCTAATCTTGAAGAAACAAACTCACCCTAAAAGCTGCAAGAAGGGAGAAAAATGTCACATATAAAACTGATCTGGAATTAAGGAATAGCCAGTCACAGATTTCCCTGTGGGCTGGTGTGCGCAATCGCGGTAGGGAATGCCGTCTACCTCGGCGTTGTTGCATGTTTCTGCAAAATTACCTCAGTCAGATAGAAATGGGCTTTATTTAAACACGAATCTTCCGCAATACGGCCTCTCCTCTGCTCAACGGTGGATCTGTATGTATGTTTTGGAGGCTGTCTCTGGGGGAGAAGGTCTCTGCGGGCAGGAACACGCTCAGCACAGGGAAGGCACCGTTCCCCGCGGAGTACAGGCCACGCACAGGCCCGTCTCGCCTCAAAACCGCCTCCGCTGGTGCGCAGGCTGACAGCGTGTGCCTCCGGCGCTTCCCCGACAGAACTAAAGCGTGTGAACACTGAAGAGACTAGTGACAGGGGCTGTCCTGACTTGGGGACTCCGCAGACTTGTTTAAAATGAAAATGAAGCTGAGGGGCTCGTATACTCCGTCATAAACACCTTCACGTGCGATCGGTTGTGAGGCTGCCTTTCCCCGAAGCAGAATAAATGGCAGGCCACCAGAGCCCAGCGCTGAGGCCAGCTCCCGCTGTGTCCCTCTGTTCCCTGGCCCCAGGTAGCATCACTCTACTGCCTGCCGTCAGCCCACCAGCGACCCGCCTGCAGAGGCCGCCGCACGCCGCCCCGAGCTGTCGCTCCCTCTGAGCTTGGGAACAAAGCCGTGCAATTACCTGCTGGACATTGAGCTGCTTCATCACTGGAAACAGAAACTCATCTGTCTTCGTCCTGTTCCAGCCAAAATACCGCTGACAAAATATGCAGGCAGTTAAGGCTTCTAGTGTTTCTGGACATAGTGAAGCAGCGGGAAATGAAAAGGTTCAAAGAACACACCCTTGGCTCCCTTCCTGTTCCGCCCCAGGCGTCTTCCACATTTATGAATATTAAGGTGGTAAACAACAATAACAATTCCTCCCACATAAATCACCAGCACTACGTTCTTTTACAACCCTTTAAGTCATGACGTGTTATGAAATCAAAGCCTCACAGCTATGAAAAAGATTGGCCTTGACTAGCCATATTTCCTTGAGCAAAAAAACCCTGTAGGTTAACTCAACTAAACTTCTACACATCCAAAAAATCACTTACACATGGAGAAAGGGGCGTTAGTAATATAAAGGGCAAAACTAATCTTTTCTACTGTCTCAGAGTAGATAATAAAGTAGCTGGCTGCAACTCTGAGTGTCTAGCCGAGGTGATTGTTCACAAGAGAAACACAGCAGCAGCCCCGCGCCCTACGAACTAGGGCAGACGTGGACTGCGGCATCCCAGTCGGCCCCAAAGAGGAAGGGGATTCTGACGAAGCTGCGTGGGGAACCTGAGGACATGATGCTGCATGAAATAAGCCGAGCATGAAACAGGCCAAGACTGTCCAGGGCACTCTGCAACAGTCAAAAGGACGGACGGAGCATGAAAAGACAGGGTGAGGGCTGGGGAGGGCCCGGGCGCGCGTGGGGACAGAGCTTCCGTTCCACGTGAGAGCTCTGGGGTGGATGAGGCCACGAGGGCACAACCAGAGAGGGTGCTTGACCCGCCCACGGCGACAGTCAAGATGGTGAATCCTGTTTTGTGCATTCCACCACACACAAAACACCCTAAGGTGAGAAAAAGAGGAACTAAAGGAGTCCTAGATAAAAGGGACATTAAGAATTCCTTACGCTCCGAGTTCAACCAAAGCACACACTGGGCTCGGCGCCACGTCCTGGAAGGATATTCCCTAATCCTGTGCAGGTCGGGCTTCCCCCACAGAAACGAGCCCCGGGAGTCGTCGACCACCGGCCTGAGGTAGGCGTCGGCCACCGCCGGGTTGGGGAAGCCGGGCGCCAGCTGCAGCCTGCGCAGCTTCTTCTTCACCTTGGTGTCGTGAGGGTTAGGTCTTATCTTCTTGTTCTTCTGGGCTTCATGCCACCACTCCCTGCAAGGCAAGAAGCGAGGGCAGCAGGACGCCCCAGGAGCTGCCCGCCGCGGAAGGCCTTCAGCCAGCAGACTCGGGCTCCTCTCGTGCTCGAGCGCCAGCTCCGAGTGCACCTCCGCTCACAGAGCGCCCTGTGCTATCTTCTGTGCAACCGATGCCCACAGGTCTGTGCCTGGCTCACACCGCCCACACTGTCCGTCCGTCTCCCCCGAGTCCACACCCATGGCCAGTCCCGTTGTCCTGGGCGTCCTTCCAGGTGCCCGATGGACGTAAGAGCTGCACTATTTACCTCAAATCAGCTGAACAGTGGCCCAGGAATACTGCATAAAATGTAAACATGCCAAGAACATGTTAAACTTCTGAAAGGTGCGATGTAACTTTTTATCAAAGCGTAACCCCAATTGGGGAGGGGGGTGTATTAAGTGGAGAGAGAAAAAGTGAACAGAAATGTTTAGAAGAACTAAAACAGGAGTGACTAGCAGGTTAGGGTGCACTGGCCGTGTTCTAAGTGAGAAACCAACTGCCCGCTTTCCTCACATCTTATCCGTCTTTAACTTTTCCATCATGAGCATAAGTGGCTGTGGCAGGTCAACAGAGCCACCTCGACATCCTCGCATCCAGAGGAAGGGCCCGTGTCCCCGACTGAGCCAGAGGCGGGATGCGCTGTGCTCCAGGCCCGTCTCCTGGGAGTCTGCCCCCGGGGCGCAGCCCGAAGAGCTCCAGATGGAGGGGACCGGGTCCCCTTCTGGCTGAGGGCCTGCCTGGCCATCCTGTGCATGAGCCTCACAAAGAGGCCCAGTGAGCTGACCACAGCACACCTGGGACAGAGGAGACACCCCTCGTGTCCTGACAGACAGCATCTGTCCTGACAGATTCATGAGCGAGTCAGTGGTGACACCGGGCCGGAGGGGACAGAACAATTTGGACAATTAGGGAAATGCGTGGTGCAAAAGCAGGAAGCTTAACCAGAGCCCTCAGCCATCTACACTCACGGGAACTCCAAAACGCTACCACTACCTGTGCACTGCGGCTCAGACTACCCGGGCTGCCAGAGGAGGGGTGCGGCGGTGCAGGAGTGCCACCTGGTGGGCGAGAGGGAAGTGCAGCTGTCCTCGCAGGGGCCAAAGGCAGAAAGAAAACTTCTCTCGGTTTTGCACGATAGTGTCCTAGAGTGCGGGAGCTAGGTCTCCCCTCTCTGCCGAATCTATTTCAGAACAGTGACCACGACTGCCAGCCAGGAGGATGCATCACAGCAAGAGCCAGCAGTGAGCTGCCCCCAGCGGCAGGGCTGAGGGGACACAGCAGGAGTGGAGCAGGCAGGTACAGCTGGAGGGCTGTGTCCTAGTGAGCGGGGCCTGCTGCCCTGCCCCAGCTGTGTGGGGCTCCTTGGGCACAGGAACCAGGCCTTTCAGATCTCATTTTTCCCTCAGAGAATCTAGCACTCACTGTGTAAACTCTCCCACTTAACATCAGCAGCCAACTCGAAAGGAAAGTTCTACAGAAGAGCACATGCTGCCGGCCCCACCAAGCTGCCCGGGAGGGTGCGGCTGGCCAGGGGCTGGGGCCGAGCGTGGCCTCTGTCCTCCCTGCACTTCTCCCGCTGGATGCACACGGCCGCCCCTGCCGGCCTCTCCAGAGCTCCCCGCCCTGGGGCTCAGTGTCTCCAGCCCCTCTCACAGCGCGGCTGCTCTCGACACAATCCAGGGAGGCAATCGGCGCCTCGACACCCCCGGACCTCCTCGACGAGGGCCCGATTTTATCAGCACTCCAGAAAGGGACCGCCCCTCCCACTGTCCGCTGAGCGAGGCCTTGGGCCCGCTGTGATGGCGGCAGCAGTTCCGACGGGCCACGGCGTGAGCTCAGCCACACGGGCTGCGGCGTGAAGAGCTTACGAGAACTTGAGCAGCGGCTCCAGGCCGTGGCCCGGAAACTCATTGAGGATCTCCATGGCGGTGACACAGCCGACGGTCGGGACCCCTTCCGTGTAATCGCTCCCCAGCAGGTAGGCCAAGTTTATCAACTTGCTCCGGTCCAGCCCTGTGGGGAAAGCTTCCGGTTTACGGACGTCTGCTTTGTAGCGCATGCCCGGCACCCTCCCGAAACACCTCACCCTGAAGGTGCCTCTGTGTCCGCCTTCAGCACAAGAAAACTGCCTTGGAGGTTTCAGCCATCCCCACAGCTTGAATTCCATCTGCACCAACCCCCAGCTCGGCCGTCGGCCCGTCTCTCCGGGGGCCACAGCCTCACGTCCTTGGTCGCCAGCCCAACGCGCCCTCTGATGCCGGGAAGCATCTGGGCCGTGAGCCAGCGGAGCTGGTGCTGCAGTACCCCCCCCCACCTGCTCCTCCTGCTCAGCCCTCACCTCAGGGGCGAGCCCCCACGACCCATCCTGCAGGGTCCAGATCTACTGGCCTTCTGCCGCCTCCTCCCTCTCTGAGTTACTCTCGCCACCTTCTCCCCCGAGCCCCGGCCCCCTGACCTCACCCGACCTGAGCCAGCTCTTCAAGCTCACACCTCCAAATACAGTCACATTCTGGGCCCTGGAGGTTAGGAATTCACGGGGTACGGGGAGATGATCCAGCCCAGGGCCTCTTGCCTTCCAGAGCACAGGAGGCGAGGGCGCCTCTCTGCCTGGGTGCTCGCTAGTGCTTTCGCTGGCTGCTTGGCACCAAGAGATCACAACTCGCCTCCTCTTCCCTAGACCCAGCTCAAGAGCCCCCGGTTTGTAAAGGTTTACCTGGCCCCAGCGCTACTTAAGGCCACGCGCTTCCGGCACGCTCTCCTGCTGCCCCGTTTCTCCCTAGGGCACATACCCCCAGCTGTGCACTAGTGTCTCTAGATATATAAAAATACGTACATCTTGGCAAGTGCTTCTCTGCTGTCTCCCCACTGGCAAGAACAACTGGCATCTGGGAGTCTCTGGACGTGCCACAGACGGGCAATGAGCGCTCACTGCCCCTCCCGCGACCCCTGAGGCCCCGACTCCCACCTGCCCGCCCCCACCGCTGCTTCACTCGAGATCCCAGATAAGGAGTCACAGCCCAGCCGAAGCAGGTGGTTAAACTGCAGAAAGTGCCTAAACACACAGGATTCTCATTTCTTAATTCTAATTTTAAAAATCTGACTCCTCTCTATGCACAAAAAAAGTCACATATGAAAACCTGTAGATACGCACTGCTTCCATTCAGGAATCAGATTCATTCTTTGGAAAGAAAATTTTCAAAACCCAAATGTCAAACAAAGGAAAACTGCAGAAAGGAGTCAGCTTCTGACGTCTTACCTAACTGGTTGTGAAAATCCACATACTGGTAATATTCTACAAACTTGTTTTTGTTAAAAAAGTTCTTATAGACATGCCGCGCTCCAAACAGCCAAATATCACTGTCATCAGTGATTGTTCCGGAAGTCTGGTCCGTCAGGTCCAGGAGGGCGCACTGGGCCTCGGCCTCCATGGGGGCCTCCACGTAGGGGATGCCGAACAGGCGGAGCAGCTCCTGCGAGTTACAGATACACTGTGACCCCTGAGGCCGGGCCCGCCGGACCGGAAGCGGAAGCCCTGGTGACTGAGGAAGGGCAGGCAGGCCCGAAGTGCTCCACCCACCTGGCTTTCCAGAAACATCTGTCCCGTCACAGTGGCTGCGACCCGTTCTTGCTGCTGTTTTTGCGCATTCAGTGATGCTTGTTGTGCTGAAAGATCACTCTCCAGCATTTCCAGCTCCTCCTGTAAAATAATTTGTTACTTATGATCAGACTTCTACGTCCAGTGGACACCACTTGTTATGACAAGCCTGCATTTAACCTGAGATGAATAAAAGCTTCTCCATCTTCTCAGGCTTCCCGCCTAGGTTTCAGAGCAAGTCCGGAACACCTGTAGTGCTGCCTCAGAGACCACAGGCAGCGCAGAGACCATCCCACCGTGACCTACGCAATGAGGCAGTACCCTCAGGAGCAAGGAGACAAGCAGAGCGCGAGCAAGTTCCACCACTCTGCACGCTCAAAGCCTCACACTCAGCATGGCCGCCCTGGCAATGAGTTAAACACAATGTCGCGGTATTACCAAATTAATATCTTGCCATTCGTTCAGCGAATCGTCTGCATCTTTGTCAGCTTCTTCTCGCGGCTCAGGACCCAAGGCCTGGCTTCCAGAGACGTCCCTCAGAAGCCCCGCGGGGCCCCCAGTGGCGTCTTCCTTAGTTCCTGTCAGCTCCTCCTCACCTTGTCCAGAGGGAGATTTAGCAGCTTCATGAAATTCAGCCTGAAGTTCATCACTGCTAATTACACTCTGCACTTCGATGAAACTTCCTGCGTCAATACAATAAGGTCACTTAAACTACAGCTGAAATGTTACAATGGCCCCCAAATCAAAAGCTTCCCAAAGAATCCTGAAGTGTTTCCCCCTAAAAGTATGTGAGTGTAACAGAAACCATGTAACTGCAACGTATTACTGCTAAGTACAATAACAGGTGCAAATAACTTCAAAATAAGCCTTTCACCTAGGCGCTGGCTCTGTCTCGCAGCCAGGACCCAGGCTTCCAGAGGCGTGCGAGTTAGCTACATCTGAGTCTGGCCTCCAGTTAACTAGCATCGTGCTAACCTCAAAGCAGAGAATTATCAAACTGTGCTAGCGATTGTGGAGGTGTCAAATATGCCTGGTGCTATTTTACAAAGAATAAAGCTGTGAGTTCGTGCTCAGAATTCTGGACAGACGCTCAAGGGAAGCAGCTCTTCCCCTCCCCCTGGCCGCCCCCTCCTGAGATGACTTTCAAAAGGACTGTCTCCCCTCCTTCCCTTCAGACAGGAAGCCCTGGGTTCGGGGAACAGTCAGGCTGGGGCTGAGGAAAAAGCCAGGACCGGGAGGAGGTGGCCGGCAGGACGGGGCTGGCCTCCACCCCGGCCTGTCCAGGCAGAGAACAAGCCGCGGGCAGGGCCTGGCAGCTCCCCTGCAGAGGGAACAGCCGCCACCTCTGCCTCTGACGAGAGCGGGCACCCACCGTCAGAGTCGCTGTCCTCAGAGCTGACGTCCGCGGCTCTCACGGATGCAGGTGCCAGCACGAGATCCTGGCCTGCAGCTCCAGCGCTCCCCTCTCCTCCGACGGCTTCCAGGGAATGCCCGGGGAGCACCCCTACATTTTTCACCTCCCTCTGCGCCTCCGAAGGGCCACCTGGGGTGTTTCCCGTTTCCTGCAGACACTCGGCATCCAAGGCTTCAGAAGCAGGACCTTTTCCCTCTTCCTCGTCCTCATCACTTGAAAGGGCAGAGGAGTCATCTTTACTCGGGGATGGACAGAGACCCCGTGGTCGCCCCAGCACAGGGGTGCGTGCTTCCCTGTCTGTACCAGGCGTGGTGCCAGCCGGAGGAACAGCTGTTGGCTCCCCGGCACCCCGGGCATGGCCAGCCATTGCCACAGAGTTCTCCAAGGGGAGAGGGTCTGCTCCACCCCTCATGGCAGGCTCACTACTAGCCTGGAAGGCCTCCCTCACCATGGCAACGACCGACTGTTCTGGAATGCCAGAGTGAGCGCCTTGGCAACAGGCGGCACTTGGGAAGGGCGTCACCCCTGCCAACTCTGTGTCATGATTGGTGCTGGGCGCACACCCCTCAGCCAGGTCCACATGAGGTGACCGCGGGGCTGGTGTCGACAGTGGCCCTTCCCCTCCTCCGGCTCGAAGTCCTCCAGCAGGCTCCTCATTGGACCTGGCCAGAAGCAGGTCTGCGGCTCCTGGCCCTCCCACCTGTCCTTCACTCCCAGCATGCACTTTCCTGTCTCCGTCGTCGTCGTCGTCGAGCGCTTTCTGAATGGCTCGGAGAGTGGCTGGGGACAGGGAGCCCGCCTCCGGGGGAGCAGGCGCAGGGGGAGCAGGCGCGCTCCGCCCCTGAAGCCACCTGCCAGGCTCCCCCTCCTCCTCCGAGCTGCTCCCCAGCATGGCCGCCTGCATGGCCAGCACACTTCTCGGGGAAGGAGGGGCGCCGAGCTCCTTCTCCGGCCCCGGCTTCTTCACATCAACTGCTGTGCTCTGCACTTTGCTGGGTGGCGGAAGAGACTGTGAATCCCCGTCTGTGACTTTCTTGGCTTGAAGACCTTAAAAAAATGAAAACATCCTCACTCTGCGGTTTCAGTGTGCTCGTACGTGTTCGGTAGGGGACGAGGGGCCCCTGGCCCTTGGAAGTCACACTTTCACTTCAGCAGCAACTGAGGGCCCACTCGTCGGTTAAGCTGAGGGTGCTGGCACTACTCCTGAGCCTGCCTCACCTGCGCCAGCACACAGGGGCCTGCTGCTATGCTCTGGGGACAGCAGCTCAGAATTCAGGGCCAGGACATAGTGCTGGGCTCCAGCGTCCCGCAGGGCGGTGCGGGTACCTCTTATGAGGATGTAGTGGGAAGTGTCCTCAGAGACCACTCTCCTCGACTCCACCTCCTTCAGGAAGCCGCCTTCCTCTTCATACTGCCTCTGGATTTGCCCCGAGTGCTGCTGGTTCATTTCCTTCTGGACATTTTCTATGTGTTGGTTTAGGTAGTTCTTTTTAAGCAAGCCTTTGAGCTGGTACTGTGAAAAGTCATTGGACTCCTGCGGCAACATGAAGGGAACAGTTTATGTTGCATATGACAGCATTCCTGTCTTTCCAGCCCTTCCCCCAGAGGGGCAATTTTTTTCATTAGTGGTATTTTCACATTATAAAATTTGAGTACTAGGAAAAACTATCTTGGTAAAGAGACTCTTTAACCCAAAAGGAGCTGGCAGAAGGAAAGAAATGATCAAGTATCCAAACAACATGTACTGAGCATGTTAGACATGCCAGACACTGTGATACTTTAATTATGGCTTAACAGTCCTCTAGAAAGCAAGGAAAAATGCAGTTCAAGCGTGCGGCACGGTCCCTGGTCCAGGAAAGACACACAAGTCACAGCAATCGCAGTGAATAACAACAGCTAACCCTCAGGCAGCATTTCCTGTGTGCGGCTTTCGAGAAGCTTCTCTACGTTACCCTGTTCTCTCCTTCATCTAGATGCCAGACCCCATCTACAAATGAAGAAGCTGTGACAGACGTGGATTAGGGGCCTTCCCAGAGCCGCTGGCTAGTTAGCCATGGAGGTGGGAGTAAAGCAAGTTGCTGACCCTTATGCCAGGTTGTTTCCAGTACTGGTTACTCTCAATGTTTTTTATTTTATTTATTTGTCCGTACAAGAGCTGGGGTAGAGGCCAGAGGTACAGGGGGTGAGGAGATTCACCAGAGACAGAGTTGGGAGCAAAGCGGGCAGATCTACTGAAATCCACTGCTGAGGGGAGCAGCGGGGAGACAGCTCAGTCTGCTGCGCCACGTGGGTCACTCCCTGGCCGGGGATCAAATTCATGCTGAGTGGCTGCGATAGCTTCAGAGTGCTGAGGCTTAGGCCCTGACATTACTCTTAGTCTTTAGCATCGTTTCTATCACCACACAGCACAGCTCACACGGCAGAGTCTGGCTGACTTAGAGCTCTCCCACAGGGCTGCTGCGCCAGGGGACCCACATGCCCATTCCTGGGGCTCTGCAGAGGCAGAAGAGAACAAAAGTCCCAGAGACTGTGTCTGTCTTCCTCCCACTCATCCCACTAGTGCTCACATGACCCACATTCTGCATCCTCAAAGGCCAGCCGGAGCACCCTTAACATTCAGTCACAGCACACAGACTGAGCCTGTCTCCCCCTGAAGTGATAAAAAAAAAAGTACTTCTGCCTCTGTCATTTGTGTGCACCCCTCTCCTATGTCCACACCCTCTGCGGAGAGCCGGAAACTAGTGAAGGACAAGAAATCTCTCCTGCCGTTTCATGTCGTTAGGAAATGCCCTGTCTGTCAGGAAGTACGAGATCCACTTTGACTGAGTCCACCAGTGAGTGGAGGAGCAAGGGGCGAGCCCAGGAGGAAGGAGGCCCTGACGCCCGGGGGCGGGGCGGGGCGGAGGGTCAGGACAGGCGCCTAGTACCGGCCAGAGGCCAGCCAGAGGCGGCGGCACCGCTGCGGACACTCAGGGCCCGATCTCACCTCAGGCATCGCCTCGAACAGCGTCCTTCTCCGCTTGGTAAACTCCTTCATATCCGTCAGGATTTCGTGCTTGACCTCAGGGGGCAGGCTGCTGAAGTCTTCCGACTCGATGTCTATGGCCTGAGGGTCATGGAAGAACTGCTCCTGTGGAGGAGACACCGTGAACGTGCCCGCGGGGCCTGCCGGGTCGCACCATGTCTGTCACAGACGGCGGGGGACACTCGAGGGCCCCAGAGGGCGCCACCCAGCGGGCGCGAGTGAGCACACGTGGAGCCATGCTCTCAAGGCATCCAGGTGCCCCGTGGGCATCCACAGCCATCTGCAGTGCCACGCGCAGGGCTCAGCCCAGCATCAGTGATCACACACTGGGACGTCCCCCACTCGCTCGCCCACTCCTTCATCTACCTGCCGTCCAAACACCCCTCAGCGCCTCTGAGGCGCCAGGCCTGCATGGTACCGGGGCCAGGGTCTCACCAGACAGGCCTGCAGCCCAGCTTCCCCTTCGCCACCCTAGTGAAGGTTCCGCATCATAAGGGGAGGCCTCAGAGGTGACTTGTGCGACCTGCGCGCCCACCCGAGGTCCACGGCCAGTGGGCAGTGGGGCCAGAGCTACGTACTGGCCTTCCTGGCCACCAGCACATGGCCCTTGCCCAGCACAATCGCACCCCTTAGCAATGTGGAACCCCCAATTCCTGGGGGTGCAGTTCGACACTCCCCCCCATGAACACGGGATTTGCTCGTCCATGGGGATGACGGTTTCTAGCTCTTCGCGCGTCTCTGACAGGCCTCCTGCCTGATTCCTTCCTGCGTCGACAGAGAACAGGGCTCCGCCTCTCCCAGAACGCAGCCCCAGCACAGGGAGAGGCCTCCCGCGGGCGAGTGAGCTGATGCCGGTGTCACCCTCAGCCTGGACACGCCGTGCGGTCCAGCTACCTCTAACCACGTCCTCAGAGACTGGGGGTCGGCCGTCCGCAAGCCCGCCCACCCCGCCGTGCAAGCGGAGGTAGTAGGTGACCACGTTCGCACAGCACGGCGCACTGCAGTCGGCGGCAGTGGCACCAACGCGCATGTGCATGTGGTGTACAGGCACACAGCACAGTGCTCGCCAGCGCGCTCGGGGCCAGACGGGCTAACGCGGGTGCGTGCTCTGCGCACACGCGCGATTTGCCAGCTGGCTGTAACGGAATTACCCCGGGTATCTAGATGCGTGAGAGAAGCAAGTTCCAGGCACGCGTGCACAGGGCCGCGTGCAGCTCACATACGCACGCAGGCACGGTGCAGCACCTCTGCCGGCAGCTCTTACAATTCGCTCACTCTGCACCTTGGTAGACTGCTCACTTTCACGTCACTGCTCCAAAGACGGCGCGCATTCTGGACTCCAAAGTGTGGTAAATACCTGTAGAGCCTGCTTTTGGTCCATCCTCTCTTGCCATTCTTTCTCATCTTCCTCTTCCGAACTGAAAGGCAAGCACTCATTCAGGCGTCTGCCTCCGCCGCACCAACAGAAGCCGCTCCCGCGCCAAGGCGCAGCGAGCGCAGGGCGACAGCGGCAACCCGCAGGGGGCCTCGCGGCGCCCTGCACCAAGGTTCCAACTGGCGCGGAGAAGTGGTGGCTGTGCCCGTGCTTACCTGTGCTTTTCTTCTTGCTGTAAGGGCGGCAGAGCGTACAGGTCATCTTCTCTCTGAACTTGGGTCAGACTGGGCAGTGGATCGTCTCTGAAAGGCACACAGACTTGAGCGGAGGGGACGAGGAACAGGGTTCCCGACTCCCCTCTGGTTACGCGAGGAGGACCCCAGGACAGGGCGACCCCTTGCCTGCACAGGTGGTTGGCCAGACCCCACGGCTGCAGGCCACAGGAGATGGCTGGGCCCTGAGCACCAGGCCACAGCTGGGCGGGGGCACACAGTAGGGCCGCGAGGAAACAGAGCGCCCGCTGGCCCGCGCCCCTCCCGACAGGATTCTCCGAGCGCAACTCTGCGGCCTGAGTCACCAGGACGGGGTGGGGGGGTCAGGGGGGCCTCCCACCTATTCCTCTCACCTCACCCTCTCTCCTGAGAGTTAACACTAAGGAACCCACAGGACTCCAACGCAACAATGAACTGCTTTAAGTTCATCTTCCGGGGCGTGGGGGTTGCTGCTGGGCGGGGGTACAGCAGAGCCAGGGTGAAAGGCTGATGCCTGATCCCGCCAGCGCTGGAGATGGTGTTGCCTCAGACAAGCAGAGGAAGAAGCCACTGAGTTTGTCTTTTAAATGAATCTAATTTCCCTCTTGCCTTTTGCTTCTTAAGGTAGTTTTGATAGCTTGTCTTTTCAAGAATGTCTTCAGAAGCTTCTCTGTAGTTTTTTTGGAGTCACTAGTGGCCAAATCCTTTCTCTGCCTTCTCTTGGCCTGTGAAAAGGAAGGAAATAAGTTTTGACCTCAGGGTGCTAATAGCATATTATGTATCACATGTAACCCATCAATCTATCTAGTATCTAGTGCATGTATAGGCTTCATAGATAGATAGATAGATAGATAGATAGATAGATAGATAGATAGATAGATAGATAGATAGATAGATAGATGTAGGGGTGTGTGTGTGTGTGTCTAAGCCACATTTCTGTGATTTTTCCCATAGATTTGGTTTCCTTCAGACTGGGATGGTCTCAGATCTTGCTCTTCCTCCTGCTGCTGTCTCTGTGACTGTCTTCAGGCTCCTGCTATATAACCACACGCAGTCACTTAGTGGGGACTGGTAATACACAATATATTTGCTGACTATTAACTTACTTTCTGCTTCCTTTAATGTCCCCAATAGGCCTAAAATTTGGTGATATATAATAAAGTAAATGCTTCCCCAAAGGAATTTTTACATTAAAATAATATATTCTTTCAATGTCACTTATGCCAAAATCAATCGCTAATATGAGCTTTATAAAAATGCATTGCTAATTTATAACTCTACCCTCAATATTCAAGATTATGTCATGGGAAGTCCTAAAATGCATAGAAATGCCTGGTAAGAGATGTACTCATAGGAAAAATGGAAGTCTCCCTGTTTACAGTGGAATATAAGGCAGCAATTCCACACTTTCTTTCCCTTTCTCATCCTTCCAGATAGTGTTTGATACAGAGTTGGCCTTGGATCATCATTCATGTCTAGATCAAGCTGTGTCCAAGCAGTAACCCTCTTACCCTGCGTCCTCACATGTGTACGTGTCTGACTGATAGGGTATAAAATGATGAACTGGCAATTTCGTCATATAAAGATCACCCTGTACCCTATGGGTGATGTGGGGGAAGGAGGACATAATCAATTGCCCCAGAGATCACATCACTCAAATGTTATTTTAAGCTACCTTCAGAATAAAGCTCTCATTCTTTTACATCCTGCCCAACTTCCTTCCTTGATCAGCCAGGCACCACTTAACACTGGTTACCCCTAAAAGCCAATTTAAGAGGAGTTTCCGTCACTGAGGATCTTCCATGTGGCGCTCCACGTTTTCTATAATGTTCCCAGCAATGCCCACGTAGCTGCAACAAATGCAGACTATGTAAGGTATCTTAGGGATACCTCTGCATTGTAAAAATTTAAGAGTTGTATTAAAAGTTAAATTTTTATTGCACCATGAAATACTCTCATAAACAAACCTTTTTAAATAATGCTTATCTGCTCAAGATAAAAATGTTTCAAAAAACAGCTGAAATTAACTTGGCTATATGTCCAAGTAAGTCTTGGTTTCCAAAAATCTAGAGACAAGAAAAACTTTTCTAAGAGTGAAAAAAAAAAACAACAACAGGCGACTCTTACCAGAGTCTGCTTCTTCAGTAGCGGAGCGTCCCCATCAAAGACAAAAATAGGACGAATTCGAAAAAATAGGAGCTTGCAGAGGCGATGGAACAAAGTGAGAAGATGGGCGTTTTCTATGGAGTTGCCGTGACGGTCCCGGACGCCCTTGAGAGCCTGGTTTAGCCAGATGCTGATATCTGGAAGCATCGTTAAAGGAAGACACTGGATTTCTCCCCTCACGCACTCCATCTTTAGTGAAGCCCTTCTAACGGCCCCCATCACCTCAGGTACCACATCTAAAAGTTTTCAGAACCTTGAGCCTTGACTGATTTGGCCTCTGCCCCTTTCAAGTCACTGGGCTTTTCTCAAGCCCTGGAAATACTAAGCGCCTTCCTGCTTCCAAGGGCTTCTCATACAATTTCCTCTGCCTGCTTAGTTCTTCTCTCTAGACCCAATTATCTCCTACTCCCTCAGCCTGGACTAAGGGCTGGTTATGCCACCCTAGTCAAAAGTGTATTGCTTTTTATTGGACAGAACTGATTCTACACATTGAACAAAACAAAGTGCCTGCCATTCTGGTGCTTGAAATGTAGTGGGGGAGGGGGTAGACAGGCGGCTGACAGACTCAGGTAGACCATGCTTCCATGGGCTGCTCTCTCTCTCATAGGTGCAGAGGAAACAACAGAGATCTACTAGTAAGTGAAGGGAGGTATTTAAACAAGTGCATATGGCCTAACTTACCACCATAAAAAATCAGATCCACAAGCAGTTAACCTAATACTATATGCTAACTAGGTGCTGCTAGTGGAAAGCAAGCTCTCAGCATCCTGTACTGGCACGCTACTGTGTGCCAGGCATAGCCAACAACCTGTGGCCACAGCAGGGAAAACCCAGCCCTGAGCAAAAGAAACAGCCCTAGCTCTGAGCGGCTCTCATTCTGATGGAACAGAGACCCCCCAAAAAAACTAAAATCAAGGAATAGATGTCTCTAAGGTCATTCTGGGTGTCAAGGAAAAAGCAGAGCAGAGTAACAGGACAAAGAGGGGTGGGGGGCTCGTGGCTGTTTAGTCAGGGGAGGCCTACTTGCAAGGGAGACCTGGATGCGCAAGAAGCGAGCGCGTCCTGAGGGCACAGGGCACGAGGAGGCAGGGCAGAGGCTGCCTGGGCAGAAGCAGGCTTCCCTGGGCCCAAGGTGGGTCAGCCTCGGAGAGGTCACTGGGCTTGACTGGCACATCACGCTGCTGGGCCAAGAGGAGCAGCTGTGGGGAAGCCGGCCTCAGAGGTACAGGAGCATGGCAGGAAGGTGGAGAGGGGACAGCCCCTGAGGGGCAGGATGTGGAATGGGCTGTGTAAGTGCTTCTGCTCACCACACTATCACACAGGATTAAATAAGATGACTTTAATTTTGTAATGAAATGAGGAAAGCTAATTTCAGATCCATGGCTCCCAACTCTGTTATCCTTTCGAAGTCGATCTGAATTTCGCTTCTGAAACAGATACTAAACATGGGCATGATTAAAATTCTAAGGCATAGAGATCTTTTAAACACAGGTAGTGCCAATTCTCAGCTAGGATGGAGAGTTCCACTTTGAAATCTTTAAAAAATATATGTAAATTAGGCAAGCTGAAAACATTTCCATAATTCAACTTATATCATTTCAGTAATGTTACAGAAGGAAAATTAAATGTATCCTACGGTCAAAAAAATTAAAATTTGCTGCAAAGCCAAGATAAGACATGGAGAGCCAAGAACATTTTGAAACCAAAAAAATCACTTCATTTCCATCCTTAGGTAAGCTGAAGTGCAGTAAATCCCCAGTATGCATGACCTAAAAAGAATAAACTAGCTTTCTGATACAGGTAAGTGTCTTTTTAATGTTAAGAGACAGGCATTGAACTGTTTAATTCCTTGTTGACACAAACATTTAGACTCTATAAATCAACTGGACATTCGGCAATGGATGGTAGAGCAACCAAGCCATTTATTTGAAAGAGGCCAAAGTGAACTGTGAAGCTGATATAGTTTTGTTTTTTCATAAAATAAAAAAAATACAAGTATATTCCAGACATTTGGATTTGAATCCCATAAAGAGGAAACTCAGCAAAGCCAGCTGTGGAACAGATAATCTCCTTTATGTAAATAGGAGGCTATCCTTAACACCTGGAGCGCCTTAGTCCTCCTTAAATGATTTATTTTAAAAAGTCTAAGATCCCATAAAAATAACTCCCAAAGGATACTTCGAGCTATTTTAAAATAATTGAGTGTAATGTTTTTCTTTTCCTTACTTTGGACAACTTCTTTAAAAAAATGGAGGAGGAAAAGAAAATGTTGGACGTGTGTCAACCTAAGAGATTTTACAAATCGCTAACTCTTCCTATGGACGGCAAGGTAAAAAGCCTAAGTCTTCGATGAAATTTTTAAGGAATCCTGTCTGCAAACCGCCCTCCCATCACACAGCAGGAAACCCTTAAAAAAGCAGTGATTTGGGGAGTCACTAGGGGGCAGCAACAGCTCAAGAGAGGTTAGAAACCCTTTTCCCCCTCTCCACCACCACACAAAGTATCCAGGGCAAAAACGTTCGAGCCAGTCAGAATTCGTTATATTTGTATTTCAAGATTATTCACACTGCAACAAAATATACCAGCCTTGCTTTTCAAAAAGCTCCTTTCGCTGACCTCCCGCCTACCCTCACGCAGCAGGTGCCACGCCAGCCAGCAATTGTGCCCCGGTCTCCTCTCCACCCCTTCTGCAAGGGAATCGACACTCCAAACACTGAAGGGCGCTTGACGACGAAAAGGCACGTTTGGATGGAGAAAACGTGCCATCCCAAAGACTCTAATCCAACCAGCCAAACAGGCGCAACCGCAAGCCAGCTGTCCCTCACAGGCTGGGGGGGAAATAACACACTGTGCGGCTTTTGAAGTCTTTCCAGGGCTCCACCGCGCGACGCTCCAGCCCCAAAGGCCTCATTTGAAACGCTACCTATGCTGAAAGAACAGGACAAACACCTGCTGCAGTACCCTTCCTCTAAGGCGACACCACGCAAACCTGGCCGGAGCCCCCTTCGCTTTCCCCCGCCGCCCCCCGAGCTGGGACAGTTAAGGTTTCCCCATGGACCGTGCGCGGAGCAGTCCCAGCTCCTCCCATCTCAATGACCCCCCAGCGCCCCCCCGCCCGGGCGTGGGCACCGCGTCCCGCACTTGCAGGTGGGCGATCGCAAGCACCCGGAGGCGGAAGGCAAGGCCCGAGGCGCGGGCTCCGACCCCGCGGCGCGAAGGCAGAGCGGGGCAGCAGCGGCTCGGGTTGGGGGGGGGGGGGCCGCGACCCCGGGGTCGCCGTCCCCCATCCCGCCGGCGCGAAGGATACCCACGGCCAGGACCTTCCCCTCCAGCGTCTCGGGGTTCACCGGCCGCCCGGAGCACTCCAGCAGCTTCCAGAGCCCCTGGACCCCCATGGGGCACCCAGGCTGCCGGTCCCAGCAGCCCCGGCCGCGCCGCCGCCCGCAGGACGCCCCCGCCGGGGGCTGGCAGAGGGGCCCGGGGCCCAGGAGCGCCGGCCCGCGATATGGGTCCCGCCCGGCGGCTCACACCGATCTCGGAAGTCAGACGCGGGCCGACGCTGGCCGGCACGGAGAAAGCGGGTCCTCGGGTCGTAGGGGCCCAAGAGTCACTAGGGGCGCCGGGTGAAGAGACGCGAATGGCCAGAAGAGGGCCCTCGACGCCGCGGGGCTTCCCGAGTCAGCCACGCCGTGGGCGCCTCTCGGCTTCCGTCGCGGCGACGCGAGGGCGGAAGTCCCGCCTTCCCGTGACGCATATTCGCGGCGCCGAGGGTACCCCGGAAGTGAAGGCCCCCGCTCCAGCGGCGTGTCGGGTTGAGTCCGCCACGGTGGCGACCTGTCAACCTTAGGTGTCCAAGCATTGCGCCGATGTCTGGCCACCTGGGCAGCGCGTTCTTGCCCGTTTTTTCGGGATCAGTTTCCCTACGAGCCCAACAGTTCTAAAAACAATGCAAACGTGGGTTTGCTCTTGAAGCGACCCCTGGAAGGGGCAGGCTTTGAAATACGGTGTCTTTTTCTTCAGCATTTGGCATTGAGGATCCACGCTTGTGGAAAGGGACTGACTTGACCCCTTAGGACAGATCCAGCGCCCACCACACCCCAATTGAGTGTCCGGCGCTGTTCAAGTCACATTCGTTCAGAACTTCCTTTTTATCTGCAAACTAGGCATAAAACTCATCTCGTAGGCTGTTAGTAAGGCGATGTATGCAAGCGCTTAATTCCGGCAATTATTCGGTAACATCATATTAATGCACATTTTAACTACTGAAAGATACACACTCGGTGCAGGTGAAGGTTGAAGAAACGAGCAAATGTTAAAAGGCTCTCTTAAGACAACTGTATCAGAAATCAGTTTTTAACCAAACCACATCTAGTCCCAAACATGGTTCACAGTAGTCATGTGAGTTAACCTAGACCCAGTTCACCTCTGTCAGAGATAGGATTCCATAACTGTTTCAACCTCTTCTCAAGCTCTCTCGGGCATCTTGCACCCTGCTGAGAGAAAACTCCCTGGGAAATTTGGGAGGCTTGTTCAGATGGCGTTCAGACCCTGTCTGGTCATATCGCAATATCATGTTAGGACATGAATATATGAATTGTGCCTCCCTTCCCCTCCCCGCCCCAATCATGCTATAGTTCTAATTCCCTGCACCTGAGAATGTCATTACATTTGGAGAGGGGACTTTAAAAGAGTGGTAAATACGTTAAGATGAAGTCATTAAGGTGGGCCCCAATCAGGGTGACAGGTGCCTGTCTGAGAAGAGGAACTGCTGGGTCGCTAGGGTTATATGCACAGTGGGAAAACCATGTGAGGACAGCAAGGCATCCATTTGTAAACCAAGGAGAGAGGCTCAGAGGAAACCCAACCTGTCTAGGACTTGAGACTGTGAGAACATAAATTTCTGCTGTATAAGCCTCCCAGTCTGGTGTTTTATTATGACACCCCTAGCAATGGAAGACAGCCTATAAGCCAGAGCAACTTTCTTCACCAGTCTGAATAAACAGATACCACTGTCTTCTTGGGTTGCCTTGAGAGTGATGATTTTACATAAAACACCTAATAGTTAAAAGTACTAAGAGGAGAAAGTACTCAAGTGAGTTTGTTGAGGACCGACAGAGGGAGACAACCTATGGGGACATTCGAATGCAGCCTGGGAAGGGCCCAGAGTACCTGGCCTGTACCAGAGAAGACAAGTTGGGGACCATGACAGCTTCAGCTCCAGCTTGGTCTAGTGATAAGGCATAGAGTGGCAAAGGAACAGTTTCAGGATTTGCTCTAGGTGAACATTATTTACTACCTAAGAGCTGGGTAAAAAAAAAAGCCAGGTGGCATTTGAATACTGTGAGTTTCTAAAACTAAAGCAACATTTCTTTTTTATTTAAAAATTTTTTTTTATTTATGCATATAAGAACTGGGGTGTAGCAAGAGGTGTGGGGGGCGGTGAGAGGATTCACCAGAGACAGAGTGGGGAGCAGAACAAGCAGAAGTACAGAAATAACACAGCTGAGGGGAGCAGTGGGCTGGTCAGGAGAGGTTTGCTGCACCATGTGGGTCAGCTCCCTGGCTGGGAGTATAACTTTTGCAGCAATGGCTGGTGATAGCTTGATAGTGCTAAGACTTAACCACTGGGCCACCAGGGAGGCCCTAGAGCAACATTTCTTGAAAGTAAAATACTCTTTTATAGAAATAGCATCTAAGGGGCATGTATATATCAGTACAAAGAATTGGCTCCTTTAGATTCCTGTGAAAGAACTTACTTAGAGGATGAACACACCTTTTGGAGAATAGCAAGCACTTAAGAAGTAGCTCCTAGCTACAGCCACTGTTCTAAATACTTAACATATATTCATATGCTTCAAAACAAGTCATAAAATAAGTAGTTACTCCAGTTTACCAAATAAACACAGAAAAATGAACCTTTGCTCACCCAAGGTCCCAAGTTGCCTAGTGCAGAGCAGGCTTGGAACCTTCCTTGCTTCAATGGAGTAAACCAAGGAACTCAGTAGACCAGGAGTGTTACTATTTTGAGCAAGAGGAGTGCAGTCATTTGCTCAGTTTCTAAAAAAAAAGCAATCACTTAAACCCCAGGGTGCACTAAGTAACTGCCAATTTTTATGCCAAGTGACCATAAGTGATTATATTCATCAAGACTGATAGAAGTGGACTGTGATCAGTGAGCAATTTGCATCAGCTCATCTTTCTTAGGTGTCACTATTCCTTTATTTCTTATTTGATATTACATCTCTCTTTTCCATGTGACTTTTCCTACCTACTTCTCTGAAATACTGTTTTCATTGTATGAAATGTCTGATATTCAGCCATGTTTGACCTACAGAAATGACAACCTCATTTGGTTCAAGTTAACAGAATGACATTTCCTACTGTCTGTTTTCCAGATAAGTCTTCTAGAGATCTAAAGTTAGTCTTTGTGATGCAAGTTATCTCTTTGATTATGAAAGTCAGGTACAAGATGGTTTCTTTTAACATACTACTTGGAATTATCAAGAGCTTCAACAACCGTAAAGGGCGTTTCCTGCCCAAACAAACATTCAAAGCATTCACATGACTAAAAGTAGAAAACAAAAACTTTATTTGATGAAAACATCTTAAAAGTTCCAGTATGAAGTAAACAAAACCAACAACCTACATATCTTTCAGTTCTTTGCATTTCAAGCAAAATACCATCTTCAGGAAAGTCACCATTTCATCATAGATCTCCCTTTCTGTAGGCTAGGCATGTCTGAATGGATAATGGCTATACATTCAAAGGAGAAGAAAATGAAAACATTTAAAAAATAAAACCCTCTCCTTGAGGCGCATTGTGATATGGTTTCCAAATATCCAGCACCTTTTAATAATCATGTTACACTCTGGGTCCTGGAACAAGCCCTTAACATGAAAGAATAAGAGATCCCAGTAGTTGGTGAGTCATGGTTGGCAGCAGAGGAGGAAGTGACAGCAGCTACACAGGAGGTCAAGAGCATGGAACCCACACATGGTGAACGACACGCTCAGCTCGCTTCAAACAGCTCCCCGTCTGGAGGTCTAAAAAGGAAAGCTGTCACAGTTGGCAGGCAACAGTTGCCCATGAAGGAGAGGGTGTCTCGTGCCTCTGCCCTGCCGTCTTCAACCCCTGACTCCAGGCTGAGGCACAATCAGATCAGGGGGTCCCATTTCACGGATCACCTCAGGCCTGCAAACACTACAAGCCACTCATTCTTTCTTCTGTCCTACAACAAGGTCTATTCTAAACTTGCAGAGGCCTCTCCAGACCTAACATTCTACTATTTGATAGAAACACAGCAAGTGAAGAAAGCCAGTGATCTCCTGAACCAATGCACCACATTATCCACTTGCACCCATAGAAGAGACCCACTTCTTGAGTCTCCTTTGCCTCTTTATTGAGAATCCTGAGAAAGTGAAGCAGGAAAGAAATGAGGCCAGCAAGGGAGGGCTGTGAGTAAAGGAATTGCTAGACTCGCTAAGTAACTGGAGCTGAGATTTAACCCAGAGAGCAAACTCGAAATTGATAATCCCCAGATAGGTGGGTGTTTAGGGGCAGGGAGCACCCTCTCTCTCTTTAGCTTAGAATGAACTATGCAAAAAGTGTCTGGGGACTGAGCCCTCAGAAATCATTTCATGCTGAACTATTTCAAATCATGATGCTATTAAGTGAATGTATATTTACTTGGTTTAGATGCACTTTTATTGGATTTCATGAGATGATCCAGAACATCTACATACACTTTGAACACTTTTAAGCCTAAGAGGACAGTCATCTGTGCTTATCTGCTTATCTACCTGAAACCCCCACCACACTCATACTCGCTTTTTACTGGAGGAGGACGAGGTGATGTCTGCAACGGCACGATCTGTCCCAGTGTAACAGGGACCGGCGCGGTCTCCTCCCTCGCGCCCTCCAGGACCGGCTGTGTCACGCAGGCGGCCCCCTGCCGGCCCGGTCAGTCATTCCCGTCGTAATCACTGTACCCCTGGTACCCACTGTTCCTTCTCTCATGGATGCTGGACATCTTTTTCCATGCCGAGTCCTGATGGAAACTAGCACTGAAAGACCGTCCCAGACGTCCGTGGTGCTTCTTGGAGATGTTGTCTTCGCTCTCCGACTTGGCCATTCCATGGCCATGTGCTGGAGGTTGCGAATCTTGTCTGATGCTTCCGAATGGAAAGTTCCAAAGACCAAATCTTTGCCAGCTCAGTCTCTGGAATGCTATGATGCAGTGCAGATTTCCCCCAACCTAAGAAACAAAGTCGAGTGTAGAGAGGGATGGGAAATGAATTTTGCTGCTGTGTGGGTACCTGTGAATCCCCACACCCCCCTTCACCTGCCTCAAAAGAGTACTTTTCCCTTCAGATGCCACTAACTCATAGGATCCTGAATCTTTCCTGACCAGCTGCCTTTGCAAAGACATAGCAATGCCCACAGGAACCAGAAGACCTTTCCCAGATGCCTCCCTGCCGCCACCCTCCACCCCAGACACCAAGGTCTTCCGCTCCCGCTCTCAAGTCAATATGTTAGTGGGGTCCCACCAATGGGGGGTCTGCTCAAGCTAGCGTCTGCCTAGCCCTGAGAAGCCCCAGCAGCTGATCCCTCTCCACACCCACAGGTAGTGTGGCTCAGGGGTGAACACCTGGCCGAGCTAGGCCAAGACTGCAAAACTGGGCCTCGGGCGGGGCAGTGTGTGTCTGGAATGTTCATCTGACAATAAGACAATATTGAGAGATGGTCATTTTCGGGAGGCAAATCAGCAAAAAGATCAGAACGTGCAAGTCCCACAGGCACTCTACGCGGCCGGGCTGGTGTCCTCTGGCAGGAACGGCCCCTTCTGAGCCGGGGCTGTGGGCGCCATCCGCTCCTGTATCCTTAGCATCATTTTCACTTTGCTTTCTAAATGGCCTGAACGGGGACTCTGTGATCCCGGCTAGAGGCGCTGGGGCGACACAACATTTTGGTGGGTTGAGTAGCAACTCAGAGCGTGATGGGTCCTTACCTTCTTTGTTTTTCGATACTGCAGCCCCCTCTCCAAGTGCCGGATATCTAGATATTCTGGGTTTTGAGTGTTTAGATCAGTAACGATATCTGCCCATCTAGAGTAAAAAGAAGAAAGCTCAGTTTTCTGTAAGCACCAAAAACCGTCGTCACAGAAGCTTCCCCGGGGTCCTTGCTCCGGTACCCCACTCGGTAGTAACACACTCAGGATGGCTCCAGCTAATAAGCTTTAGGATTTTCTCATTTTGATGACAAAGACTATACTTTCAGGGATTATTTCCAGGCTTCGCTACTAGTTTTGATTTTGTTTTTGCTGGGGTACAGGCCAGAGATGCAGGGGTGAGAGGATCCACCAGAGACAGAGTGGGGAGCAAAACAGATGGACTGACCAAAACATACTGCTGAGGGGAGCAGCGGGGAGACAGGAGAGGTCTGCTGTGTCCTATGGGCCCCTCCCTGGCCGGGGATTGAACTCGTGCTGCAGGGGCTGCTGATAGCTTCAGAGTGCTGAGACTTAACCCATTTTGCCAGCAGAGAGGGCCAGCTACAAGTTTTAATGACAGTTCTATTTACCAAGGCTCTGTTCAAATTGTTACTTTTCCTCTGAAATCTATGTCTACTGTTAGATGACATTCTGCAGGTTAAGTAAAAGCTGTCCACATTGCCTTTTTAGTCAGTATGTTTTCAACAGATGGCCAGGCAGCATGATGACTGTCTAGAACAGCCAAAGTAACTGCAAATGGCAGCTTCGCATGACAAAACTACAACTACAAGAAGTAAGTTTGATAAATGGGCAATATTCAATACTCCCAGAAAATAACCGGGAGACTTTAGACGTGTATTATTTATAAATTTATAATACATCAAAAAACAACGGGCCTGGGGGTGTCACTGCCTAGCAATGATAGTTCCTAGGATGGAGGTGAACACCCACAGTTTGCTGGGAGAGCAGAACAACAATGGTCTCACCACACACACACACACACACACACACACACACGGGAGGCACTGAGTTGATGGGTTAATTAATGCTTGATTGTGGTGATCATTTACTCATTTACTATGTGTGTGTTGAACAAATCAGTACAATATGCACTTTAGATAAACACAATTTTATGGCAACTGTCCCTCAATATGCCTGGAACAATAGACACTTTCAAAAACCTTAAACATCTGAAGTAAAAAGAAAAAGGAATGACACTATCCGGTCCTGGTGAAGAGTACTGGGTAGCTGGGCCACTCCTGCACTGCTGGTGGGTGTGGGGTGGTACAGCCACCCTGGAGAACCTTCTTCCAGTTTCTCAACTACACATCTAGCCTATAGCACAGCAGTTCCACTCCTAGACAGCTAGCCAAGAGAAGCAAAACATATCAACATATGTCCTCAAAAGACTTGCAAAAGTGTGGCATATTCACATAGCACAAAGTTTCTTGGCCACACATTATACCATGGATGACCATCCAAACATCAATGAAATTAATGACACACATTATGCCATGGGTGACCATCCAAACATCAAAGAAGTTAATGACACATGTTATACCATGAATGACCATCCAAACATCAATGAAGTTAATGACACACGTTATGCCATGAATGACCAAACATCAATGAAGTTAATGACACACGTTATGCCATGGATGACCGTCCAAACCTCAATGAAGTTAATGACACACGTTATACCATGGATGGCCACCCAAACCTCAATGAAGTTAATGACATATTATGCCATGGATGACCATCCAAATCAATGAAGTTAATGACACACGTTATACCATGGATGGCCACCCAAACCTCAATGAAGTTAATGACACACATTATGCCATGCATGACCATCCAAATCAATGAAGTTAATGACACACGTTATACCATGGATGGCCACCCAAACATCAATGAAATTAATGACACACATTATGCCATGGATGGCCACCCAAACATTATTCTAAGTGGAAAAAGACAGACATAGAAGTCCATAGACACAAAATTCCATAGACACAGAAGTCCGCAGACACAGAAGTCCGCTGTAGGCAGACCTGCAGAGACAGAAAGGAGGTTAGAGGTGGTTGGGGTGGGGAGGAGGGACAGCGGGGCACAGCCAATGGCTGTGTGGTTTCTCTCAAGAATGCAAATGTTCTGGAATTAGATGGTGGTGACCGATGCTTCGCTATGAATACGCTCAAGTCCACTGAATGGCATGTTTCTAAGGTTGGATTTCATAGCATGTGAACTAGTTTCCCCTAAAGCTGCTATTTCAATTTTTTAAAAAGATGTAGACATAAGTGTTGCTAAAAGCTTCAGTCACAACCGACCAATGCAAAAACAATCCAAATGTCTATGAAGGAAACAAGTTGCAGTTACTGACACAGCTCAATACTAGTCAGCATTTAAAAAAAAAAAAAAATGGGGCCCTCCCTGGTGGCACAACAGCTTGGGATACAGCACTGCACACTGGCCGCAGCTGTTTCAGTGCAAGTTCAACACCCAGCCCAGAGGTGACCCACAGGGAGCAGCAGACCTCTCCTGTCTCCCCACTGCTCCCCTCAACTGTGTCCTTCAAACATCTGCCTGTTCTGCTCCCCACTCTGTCTCTGGTGAAGCTTCTCACTGCCCCTCACCTCTGGCCTGTACCCCAGTTCTATATGCGTAAATAAATACTTTTTAAAAAAAAATAAAAAAGAAGGAACACAAGACAAAACAATGAATCTCAAAGTGTCACATAATGTAAAGAAGCCAAACCCGAAAGACTATTGTAAATTCTATTTACATGAAGTTCAAGATCAAGCAAAACCAATGTAACCAATGTATAGTGCAGAGACCCTGCAGAGATGGTCCCTAAACTGGAGAGGGAGCAGAGGGACTCGTCAGGGCGACAGGTGGCATGTCCTGAGAGCAGCAGTGCTGACCCAGGCACACTCACCCCCATCAACCATCAGGAGCGACGCGTTTCGATAAACATCAATCTTAGCTAAGTTAAAGGGGGAGATGAGAAGTTTACATACTTTTTACAGTGAATAGCAGGGTGTTTTCTACTGGATTCTCCGATTAAGATCCAATATTCTACTTCTTGTGAAGAAAGGGGACCTCTGCTAAATACAAAATAGGTTCAAGAGTTTAATAAAGGCAGTCGCTTCCGGACCATGTCACTTCCACCATAAAAGCTATTTCGTTGCTCAAAGAAAACATTCATGCATGCTAGAGGAGGCCGGTTTTAGAGTTTGGGCTTGAGTCAATTTCACGCTTTCACCATGACAACGGAAGATGCTTTGTCAAGTGCTCAGTTGCGACAGGCCAGATCATGGAACCCACTGTCCACTGAGACACTGGGTGAGGACACCGAGACATAATATAGAACATCCTTGATAGCTGTTTTGTATTGGGCATAAGTTGCTGAGTGTCCTTCTCTTGTCTCGACACCGGGCAGGACTCAGTATGCAAGGGGACAGTAAAGGCGTGATTGACCCGGTGCAATACCGCAGACATGCGGATATGTTTACAAAACAGTCTGACCAAGTCTTCCTTTTTCTATGTGACTCCATATTCCTGTCGGTTCCTACAATACAACTTCCTAGCAAAGCAGCCACTGAAGTGCCGACAGGCTTACCTGAATGCTTTGTTAGCCTTCACGGGCGTGGCTTCAAAGCCAATCGGACAGAAGTAATGATTTTGGCAATGGTAGATGAAAGCCAGCGATTCATCTTTCAGTCCATGGGTCAACTTCGACAAAGCCCCCGAAGCTACAAAGGGAAAAACAAACAAACTGAGAGACCACAAAGAGCTTTCCAGAAATGTCTAGTGAGGGACAGAAGACAGGCTTTAGGAACTCAGGGACACTGTCGGAAGAGCGAGAAGCGGCTGATAGACACAAAGGACATCAATGAATTCGATTTCAGTCTTGCCCTATAGACTGAAACTCAGATCAAGCAAACCCAGCCAACTAAAAAGCCGAAATCCATCGCCACTTACCAAAACCTTCCAGGAACACTCTCACTTATCTCAGAAAGACAGTGAGCACATGAAATCTAACCCTTGCGTGGAGACTGCGGTCTTCACTTTTCTGGCTGTGCATATCTCCCACTAGAAATTTCTGAATGAGCATTTTTGTTTATAAACTATACACATGCTTTTAGAAAAGATATACAGCCCCTGGAATTTCAGAATTAAACCAAAACAGACAAGCCAATGATGGCCCCCAGGCTGTACTTACCACCGTGCACAATTTGGGGTGGGGGTTGTTACCCCGATCTACAGACCTCTGATCTAGCAGTGGAAATATAAACTCTAGATAATGAACAAGTTTCAAAAATGTACTCTCCCATGAACGCACAAGCCGAGTGATGCGTAAAGAACACTCCAGAGACAGGTCCGCGTGTGCTGGACAGCCTCGCCCAGAACTGCATTCTTAGCCAAATGAGTTGTGAAGACATTTCCAAAGTACCACCTTAAGAAACATGTTTTACCATCACTCAATATTTCATCATTAACTGAGGTTTCATTTACTTGCATCTCCTGGGAAATAAAACTAAATTATTCATCCACTAATGGCCCACTACAAGTTGAAACCTAAAAATGGTTGAAGTAGTTAAAAGCTTGCAAGCCAGGCTGTCCTGACGGACTTTCTGGTCACTAAGGTACAGACCACTGAGACCAGAATGGGGCGCTACAGTGGGGCCATGGAGCCAGACCTTACCTGCACCCTGCAGACACACAGAACTGGTGAGGCCCCATGACCACGCCAGGCCCAGTTTAAACTTAAACTTACGGGAAAAAATAAAGTAAAATAAACTTAAACTTACTGTCCAGGGTCTCACCTATACCGTGCCTGCAGATTGTTACTTCTGCCCCACCCCAACCCCCAAGGCAAACCTGCATGACCCAGCCATCTTTTCTGCCAAAATCTGTATTTTCCTCATGACAACGGATGGGTCTACCTGCAATTTTTGTTGTGTTTCCCTGACAGTTTTCAAAATTGACCCCACTCTGCTCCCCACTAAATTTTTTAATTTATGCACACAGAATTGAGTACAGGCCAGAGGTGCAGGCAGTGAGAGGCTTCACCAGAGACAGAGTGGGGAGCAGAACAGGCAGATGTACAAGGTACACTGCTGAGGGGAGCAGCAGTGAGAAAGGAGAGGTCTGCCCCACGATGTGGGTCACTTCCAGGGCCTGGGATCCAACTCACACTACAGTGGCTGGAGGACCCCAAAGGCAACTCTTTTTGTATTTTTTTAGATTTATTCATTATTTGTGCATACAGAACTGGGGTACAGGCCAGAGGCTCAGGGGCGGTGAGAGGCTTCACCAGGGACAGAGTGAGGAACAGAACAGGCACATCAATGAAGTACACTGCTGAGGGGAGCAGCGGGCAGGTCAGGAGAGGTCTGCCGCGCCCTGTGGTCACCTGTGGGGCAGGCGGGGACCGAACTCATGCGGAAGCGGCTTAAGCTTCTCAGGGCTGTGCTTTAACCCGCTGCACCACCAGGGAGGGCCTCTGCCGTGGTGTTTTTTTGGGTTTTTTTTTAAAGATTAATTTATTTATACAGAACTGGGGAACAGGCCAGAGATGCGGAGGGTGAGAGGATTCACCAGAGACGGAGTAGGGAGCAGAACAGGCAGATCGATGAAGTACACTGCTGAGGGGAGCAGTGGGCGGGTCAGGAGAGGTCTGCCGCACCATGTGGTCACCTCCGGGGCAGGCAGGAATCGAACTCATGCAGAAGCGGCTTTAGATTCTCAGTGCTGTGCTTTAACCCGCTGCGCCACCAGGGAGGGCCAAAGGCAACTCTTAATGAGTTACAAGAACTAAAATTCTGAAGAGAATCAGTGTTTCAGTTTCAGGATTGAACTTGACCGTACATGAGGGCTAGAGTGGTCACATGCAAATGTGGTCCTATAGATGCCTGACAAGCTCGATAATTGCAAACATGTTATAATTGACTTGGGAAAGCTCTTGAAATCGTCAACAACTGTGAGCATGCCAAGTGAAAGAACATTACTTATAGCTCTTTAAGTCTTATCTCACACTTTCCTTCTTTGGTCAAATGAATTACAAAGCAGTTGACTTGTCGAGTGTAACTACAAAGCACAATCACTTTGATGTCTCGGAAAATAGCCGGGTTTTCAGGGACAAAGGAGCTATGTAAGAAAATGTGCTCTTCTTATATTCACATCTTTTTGTCTGCTGCAAATGCTCCTTGGTCAGGTCTTGGTGTTCTAGAAGCCTCGAGATAGTTCTTCTTCTATGGAGAAACATTTATGGGCTTTGTGCCACTCAGGGAAGTTTTATTCCTTATTCAAGGTACTTAACCAAATATGCTAAATTAACTTACATTATGATTAATTTAGATTAGAGACCAAGAAACTTTTCTTAAAGGGCCAGAGAGTAACTGAGGCTGTGGTTCATGGGCAGGCAAAGTACTCACCTCTGCCCTTATGGTGTGACCTGTAAGCAAATGGACATGGCTGTGTTCCAATAAAGTTTTATTTACAAAGCAAGTCTGGCTCACGGGCTGGAGTTTGCCAACCTCTATTTAGACCACTAATTTACCAGTTTGGACATGGAACCACTTCTGCCTGGAGTGTTCACATACAGGCTGGTTCATAAAGCAGGCCAAAGCAGAATGGCTGTGGTCAGAAGGGAGTTAGGAGGCCTGGGGGCCAAGCGCTCTCCCCCAACCACAGACTCCCCCAGGCTCTGCTGAACGCCAGGTAAAGACCACTGAGTTTTCAATCAAAAGAAGATCAAGCTCTTGATAAGGAGGCTGGCAGCAGCTCTTCAGAAAGAGCTTGACCACAGTTCTCATGAGTGTGAAGGGTTTGTTAAACCAGAGTGGCAGTTACCACCCCCAGTGCCTGGTGGTGGTACCAGGAGGCCTGGTCTGGGAACCAAGAATATGCATGTTCATCAGTTACCAGGTGATGTTGATATGGCTCCAGGGAAGCCCTGGTCTAAAGAGAGAATTTTCACTGAATTCGATTCGTCAGCGATTCCTGAGCACTTACTAACTGGAGCAGGAACTGCAGGGACAAAAAAGAAGATGATGTGCAGTACCCAGCACCCCCCTAGAGAAGGTGAACAAGTAATTGCAGAAGGGTGGAATACGACAGTGCCACGAAAAAGGACAGAATGCAAAGGAGAAGGTGCACATCGGGTTCAAAGAGCCAAGAGGGGCATCCAGAATGGAAGCTGATGTAGTGGCGGGACTGCAACAGTCCAGACAGAGTGCGAGGAAATAGAAAGTCACTGGGGGGTTGGGGGGTG